AAGGGCAGGTCCCCTGGGAAAATTAATCAGTTTGTGTGTGTTATACTTGAACATAAATTAAATATATATAGGGTTCTTTCAAGAGCTGAATCTGAACTTGTTTCTTATAAGTTAATAATCTATTTTTATTATGAGATAAAGTTTTTGACATTGATAGATAAGTTGCAGATCTGTATTATTTTTTGACACATGAAAGAAACAATATTAGCAACTATTAATTAAATTTGATTATAATATGGAAATAGATATAACATCATATCTGATTTTAGAGAAGTATTTTGCTTGTTTTTTACTGTTTTATGGAAATAAGTTTGAGTTATTTGTTTTGAAAAGTGATGTGTTTAATTGATAGATATAAAATCATATCTAATTTTAGAGATTTATGAGTGGTTAAGTCATATCTAATTTTAGAGAATTATTTTGGTGTTTTGTTACTGGTTCATGGAAATAAATTTGAGTTTTATCTTGTAAACGGTCGAGATCCCCACCCCTAAACCATATATATTCTTGTATGGGACAATAAAACAAATCAAACTAAAATTTGGGGGAGTCCACTGGACCACCCCCACCCCCTTCTTTTTGAAAACTTGTAAACGGTCAAGATCCCAACCCTGAAACCATATATATTCTTGTATGGGACAATAAAACAAATCAAATGAAATATAAGGCAAGTCCCCTGGGGTCACCCCCAGCGTGTCTGTTTAAGAACTTGTAAACGGTCGAGATCCCAACCTCTAAACAATATATTCTTTTATGGGACAATAACACTAATCAAATGAAATATAGGGGAAGTCCAGGGGGTCACCCCCACCCCTTCTTTTTGATAACTTGTAAACGGTCGAGATCCCAACCCCTGAACCATATATATTCTTGAATGGGACATTAAAACAAATCAAATGAAATTGAGGGGAAGTCCCCTTGGGTAACCCCTAACCCCCTTCTTTTTGAAAACTTGTAAATGATCAAGATCGCCACCCTGAAACCATATATATTCTTGTATGGGACAATAAAACAAATCAAATGAAGTAAAAGGCGAGTCCCCTGGGGTCACCCCAACCCCCTCCTATTTGAGTACTTGTAAACGGTTGAGATCCCCACCCCTAAACCATATATATTCTTGTATGGGACAATAACACATCAAATAAAAATATAGGGGAAGTCCATGGGGGTCACCCCCACCCCCTTCTTTTTGAGAACTTGTAAACAGTCAAGATCCCCACCCCGAAACCATATATATTCTTGTATGGGACAATAAATCAAATCAAATGAAATATAGAAGTCCATGGGGGTAACCCCCACCCCCTTCTTTTTGATAACTTGTAAACGGTCGAGATCCCCACCCCTAAACCATATATATTCTTGAATGGGACAATAAAACAAATCAAATGAAATTGAGGGGAAGTCCCCTGGGGAAACCCCCACCCCCTTTTTTTTTGAAAACTTGTTAACGGTCAAGATCCCCACCCCGAAACCATATATTTTCTTGTATGGAACAATAAAACAAATCAAATGAAATATAAGGCGAGTCCCCTCAGCTTGGGTCACCCCCACCCCCTCCTGTTTGAGAACTTGTAAACTGTCGAGATCCTTACCCCTAAACCATATATATTCTTGTATGGGACAATAAAACAAATCAAATAAAATATAGGGGAAGTCCAGGGGGGTCACCCCACCCCCCTTTTTTTTTGAAACTTGTAAACGGTCAAGATTCCCACCCCGAAACCATATATATTCTTGTATGAGACAATAAAACAAATCAAATGAAATAAAAGGCGAGTCCCCTGGGGTCACCCCACCCCCTCCTGTTTGAGAACTTGTAAATGGTTGAGATCCCCACCCCTAATCCATATATATTCTTGTATGGGACAATAAAACAAATCAAATGAAATTGAGGGAAAGTCCCCTGGGGTAACCCCCAACCCCCTTCTTTTTGAAAACTTGTAAATGGTCAAGATCCCCACCCCGAAACCATATATATTCTTGTATGGGACAATAAAACAAATCAAATGAAATATAAGGTGAGTCCCGTTGGGTCACCCCACCCCCCTCCTGTTTAAGAACTTGTAAACGGTTGAGCTTTTCATTATTAATAAGATAATACCACATTGAGGTCCAAAGGGTCCTAAATTAAACTTTTGTTTAATTTCATCAAATATTGAATTCTTTGGTTCTTTGATATGCTGATTCTAACAATGTTTGAGTGTTAAATCATATCTTATTTTAGAGAACTTAGTCATCACTGGTTGTTGTTATTATATTTTTGATTATAATTTGAAAAATTGCATCATATCTTATTTTAGAGAACTATTTATCCAGTTTGAGTTATTTCCATTTGCACAGAAAATATTATGGATAAAATTAACCTGAGTTTCATTTAAACATAAATTAAATATATATATAGGGTTCTTTCAAATGCTGAATCTAAACTCTATTTAAATATTAGATTTTTAGGCCCAGTTTTCAAGTTGGTCCAAATCAGGGTCCAAAATTAAACTTTGTTTGATTCAACAAAAATTGAATTTATGGGGTTCTTTGAAATGCTGAATCTAACCATGTATTGAGAGATTTTGGATTGTGGGCTCCTTTATTGAGGTCCAAAGGGTCCTAGACTAAACTTTTGTCTGATTTCATCAAAAATTGAATTCTTGGGGTTCTTTGATATGCTGATTCTAATATGTACTTAGATTTTGGATATTGGACCATAATAGGTATTTAAATGTCCAATTTCAAATATATCAGTTCTTTGACTACATTGATTTTGTGTCACAAACCTATGATGTGTCAAATATTCAATCACAATCCAAATTCAGAGCTGTTTTAAGTTTAAATGTAGTGTCCATACTTGCTCAACTGTTCAGGGTTCGACCTCTGCAGGAAAATCCGGTTTGCTGTCTCTCTGACAGCCTCTTGTCTTAGATATTATTATAGTATCTAATAATATCTAATATCCAATAATTTATAGTATCTAATACTATTAATTATGATTTTAACCTTATTTTACATGATTTCAAAAACAACAGTAAATACAGGTGAGCGACACAGGCTCTTGAGAGCCTCTAGTTTTAGTATTGACTTTAAAAATTTCAAAACAGGCCCCTTTATTTCATAAAAAGTTTGTATAGAAGGGCCATTATGTTTCTATGTATGCTGCATGGTGTTTTTATATATGTTGGTGTTTGCTTTTGTAGTAGTGCAGTGCTTCTCATGTTCTGTTGTTTTCCTCTTATAGTTTTAGTTTTTCACTCAGATTTGTTATTGCTAAACCCTCCCCTTTTTTGCCAACCGAGAATGCCGACATTGCTAAAACTTGAACATAGGGGTAAAATGCAATTTTTTGCTTTATATTTTGATAACCATTATCAATAAATAAAATCTGACCAAGTCAAACATTTTTAGAATGTAAAGTTCTACATTGACCTATTGCCTATTTGATTCAATGCTGTTAGACCACTTCTTTTAGGAGTTATTGCCCTTAAATGAAGTATTTTATCATTTTAAATTTTATAGGTTTGAAGCCTTTAAAATTTCAAATGATAAAATACGTCACTTTGTATCAGCAATGTCTCGGACAGGTTTGAAAATTAATGCTGATCAATAATTTTAAAAGAGTTATGCCCTTTAAATAGTAATTATATGGGGAAATGCATTGCAAGCTCTCTCATATGTACAATTCTTGCCAGATTTTTATAAACCTTATATCACAATGTCTTTAACAAGTTTGAAAATGCCGATCCACAATTATGTCCCTCGGAAACATTAGTTTTATGAAAAATTGCATTGTTAGTGCTCTCAAGTGTTCAAGTCTTGCCAAATGTTTATTAAACTTGTATTCATAGGTTTATATATCAGCACAATGTCTTGAACAATTAAAAAAAAACAGTGCAGATTAATTATTTTTAAAACAGTAAGTATAAACCCTTTGAAATATTAATTATATCTGAAATTGCTTTGCATTTGCTCTCAAGCCTTCATTTCTCTAAGATATTTATAAAAAGTTAAAAGAAAGTTTTAGTTTTTGCCAATGGCCAGATACCGGGTAACATGTGAAAAACGAGGAACAGTTGAACTTTAGGTCTGTTCTTTCCTTTATCTATGTTAATCATTGATGTCTTGCTTAGTTCCTTCTGTTACCTATATACTAACATTGAAGTCATACTTCTTTTAAACTGAGTTTTACTCTGTCTATTGCTGTGTGTTTTTGAAATTAAAAACATGTGGTATGATTGCCAATGAGACAACTTTACACCTGATACAAAATGACATAGAAATAAACAACTGTAGGTCACTGTTTATTCCACATTGACTAGAGGTATAGGAGGAGGATTGAAATCTCACAAAATATGTTTAACCATTCCGCATTTTTGCGTTTTTCCCAAGTCAGGAACCTCTGGCCTTGTTAGCCTTGTGTGTTTTTATAATTTTGGTTCATTTGTATGTATCGGAGTTAAGTGTGGCTTCCATTTCGCTGAACTAATATACAGTATTGTTTAGGGCCCAGCATGAGCCTGCTTCCATGTGCTGTTTACTGCTCCTTAGTCAGGCTGTTGTTGTCTTTTTGACACATTCCCCTTTTCTATTGTCCATAGTATCTATTCTATTAATTATCATCATGATCATGTGAACAGAATGTGCTAGTCAGTACTAGCTTGACACTAACTCAACACAAGAAATTTAAAAAAAAAAATTTACAACATAGACAATCCTTAGATCATATTGGTCAAGTCAGCTCTCCTTCCACGACTTCTGAAATTAGTTTGAAATTATTAAAGCTTGTGACTGCATGACAAAAAAATTTGTTGACTGAATTAAAATTTAAACTTATTTGTCTACATCGATGGCCCTAACAGGCTTCAATTAATTCAACAAATTCCATATTTTCTTATGTCCTCACTGTTTTCCTGGTTAAAGTATTGTATTTATTATATAATTAAAAAGAACAAATAAACCCTCACAGTATGTTATACAGTATACAATTTAGTCCTTTCTTAATATAATTACAGGTCAATTGTTAGAGACAAGATGTAGTATGAAACTTCACACCAAAGTGGCTGCAGTGCTGGTAGAATATACAGGACAGCACTGTAGCCAGTAATAACAAATCAAATAAAAAATAACAAGACTGTAAGATACTACTAGAGGAGCCAAAATGAATCTCACAATAGAAGAGTCAAACTTCCTGAGATTTTACTTCCTGAATCTGAAGATTGCTTCACAGGCTGTCAAGGTATATTTTGATTCTGTTCATCCACCAGCTGGACTTGCCACTGAACTTGCCAATAGTGAAGCAAAGTTGAAGGGACTTAGATTTATAACACATCTACAACTGCAGATTTTATACCCAAGTAATGGTAAGTTTAATCATGTTAATAAATTTGTTTATTTTCTAAAAGATTTATCAGTATTCAACAAGATACTCCTTTGGAAAAAGAAATGCCAAAAAAAGAAATGAATAAAAACAAACAATACTGTATTGTGCCAGATTCAGATAGCTAGCCTGACTTGATACAGGAATACCGGGAAATAAATTCTGTAGTAATCTGTTCTAGCATGTCTAGACATGGAATGTAAATCTAACAACTAATTATTATTTATCTCCATGGTTGTTCAGAAAAATTAACCTTACAGGGATACCCTGTTAAATGCAATACACATGGTAATTTTATAACAGCATATAGTGCAATAAACCTGAATTTAGAATTTAAAAAATTGAAACAAAAGGATGTAGGTTTCAATAAACCCATTAAAGATACCAGCAGTTAAATTCGTGTTTGCCGAAAACATTTTGTCTAAAAAAAGACTTCAGGCCAAGTTCAGGGACCCTTAAATGAAAAAGTTAAACACATCAAATTAAAAAGTTGAGAGCATTGAGGACTTCAAAAAAATCTTTATTTGTACACAAAGCTTTAACCATTTACTACCTAGACCATATGTCATAAAACTAAAACACACAACAAAAACCTGCATAGTACAACTATAGACAGGATGACCACTGACTTAAACTAACAAGGAAGTCAAGATCTACTTATATTCCTCATACATTTACTTTAACTACTATAACTAAATCAGTTATAGACAACTTGAAAAAGACTTTAAGTGACTTTTATAACAGATGCACTTAAGTGTTTACCAAATTATTAATATGGATAAGTAAACTCTCGTTTTAGTATCCTTTCACATGAAATCATCTTCATTAAAATGCCTGCTTTGTTCAATATATAACATGTTAGAACCTCTGTTTTATGTAACGGTAAGTTTTTAAATTAGTGGGAACCTGATACAAAATGGCCATCTTTTTATTTAATACACGAAATAAAAACATTACAATGATTACTTTTGCAGCAAGTAATGTTACATCAGACAACTTTGACACAACACTGTTAATTTGTCTTTTACGGAACCTGCCACCACGTCAGTCAGCCCCTGCAACTGGCTGGGATAATTTACCACACCCTGGTGATACCAGTATTGGTGCAGACCTTGCCAGAGTTAAATGGTACAGAAACAAGTTAGTCCATAGCAATGATGGGATATTGTCTTCAACAGATGTCATTCAGTACTGGGGAGATTTAGAAGGTGTAAGTAAAAACAAGTTAGCACATGGCAGAGATTGACAACTTCAGTTTTTTTTTATAAGTCTCCTACCGCAAAAGTCGTAGGGGACTATAGGTTTACACTTCATCCATCCATCTGTCTGTCCATCTGTCAGTTCGTCAATTCGGTTTTCCACACTTTTTCTTCATGCTTAAAGATAAAGATTTGATAGTTTTATCATGACCAGTTACAGATCAAGTTTGCATTTTGTTCGGGTCTGATGATTTTGTAAAGATCTAAGATCCTTGGACTTCGAAAGTTCAATCAACATGAGTAAGTACTCAGTTTTTCGTCATGCTTGAAGATATTGATTTGATGTTTGTATATAGTTTTACCATGACATGTTTCATATCATTTTTTGAATTTTGTTTTAGTCTGATGATTTTGTGCTGGGTTATGGTCCTTGGACTAAGAAATTGGATGCAAATAATCAGTTTTCCTCACTTTTTTTGTTATGCTTGAAGATATTAAGTTGATAACTGTATATAGTTATACCATTTCATGTTACAGCTCAAGTTTCAATTTTGATTTGGTTTTGATGATTATTTTGCACAGTTATGGTCCACAGACTTGTTTGTTATGCTTGGAGATAATGATTTGATATTTCTTATAGCATGTATATAGTTTACACATTGACAAGCTATGAATCAAGTAAGCATTTTGTTTCAGTACAATGAATTTTTATCCCGTAGGAGAATGCTCACAGAATGATTGTTTTGAGTGCAATAATAAATGAGCATTTTGCAATATTATTTCTCACTATTTCTCCTATGGTATTTCTCTCTGTAAGACATAACCTGTTCTTATGCATTATCAATAGTGAATAGTGACATCGACAAATACTATTGTAGCGTTGTTTTATATAATGGGAATTTGAATGTTTTGGCATTTATGATTTGTTATGTGCCTTACACTTGCTTTATTTTTGTTCACGAATGATCAAGTTTAATAATGATAATGTAGATGATAGCATGAAAGTTTTGCCAAATATAAAAGTTGTCCATGGTTACCAATCATACCACATCTTCTTATTTTTTGTTGGCTAGTAATTTTGGACCTTTTGAACTGCAAAACAAAACACCACAACTGAATTAAGGTTGTATCCTACAAAACTAACACATTTGAATTACCACTTGTAATTGGATCTAGGCAGTTAATAAAACAGACATTTTCTGCCAAAATACTATTTTTATATGACCGCAAAAAAATTTTGCGGTCGTATATTGGTATGACGTTGGCATCGTCGTTGTCCAAAGACACATTGGTTTTCGCACTCTAACTTTAGTTTAAGTGAATGGATCTCTATGAAATTTTACCATAAGGTTCAATACCACAAAAGGAAGATTGAAATTGATTTTGGGGGTTATGGTATTAACAGTTAAGGAATTAGGGGCCAAAAAGGGGCCAAAAATAAGCATTTTTGTAACTTCCAGACATAACTTGTGTGTTAGTGTATGAATCTCTCTGACATTGTACCACAAGGTTCCATATCACAAAGGGAAAGCTGGAATTGAGTTTGGGGGTAATTGCCCAAAACGTTTAGGAATAAGGGGCCAAAAATAAGCATTTTTCTAGTTTCCAGACAATAACTTGTGTTCAAGTGTATGGATTTCTCTGAAATTGTACTGCAAGGTACCATACCACAAAGGGAATGCTGGGATTGATTTTGGGGGTAATTGCCTCAAAATTTTAGGAATTAGGGGCAAAAAACAAGCATTTTTCTAGTTTCAGGACAATTACTTGTGTGTAAGTGTATGGATCTTTATGAAATTGTACTTAAAGGTTCCATATCACAAAGGGAAAGCTGGGTTTGAGTTTGGGGGTAATTGCCCTAAATGTTTAGGAATTTGGGGCCAAAAAGGGGCCTAAAAACAAGCATTTTTCTAGTTTCCAGACAATAACTTGTGTTCAAGTGTATGGATCTCTCTGAAATTGTACTGCAAGGTACCATACCACAAAGGGAAGGCTGGGATTGAGTTTGGGGGTGATGAATCATAAGGGGGTTCAAAAAATTTGGGGGAGGGATTTTTTTTTTCCTTTTTTTCCTTTTTTTTTTTCTTTAAAATTTTCCATTTTAAATTGGTTATTTCTGATTTATATATAAAAGCAAATAATGATAATATGGTTTGAATAGGTAAATTAAAAATTTTTAAGTTCTTAGACCACATTCATTCTGTGTCAGAAACCTATGCTGTGTCAAATATTTAATCACAATCCAAATTCAGTGCTGTATCAAGCTTGAATGTTGTGTCCATACTTGCCCCAACTGTTCAGGGTTCGACCTCTGTGGTCGTATCAAGCTGCACCACGCGGAGCATTTTATTTGCTTTATACTTTGATCTTTTCCATATATATCTATTACCAATTTCTTGCACAAATCCTTAAATTTGTATACATATATTCCATTTGTAAGGTAATGTTATGTTTCATACACTCTACATGCGCTATGAAAAATATTTTAATACGTTTTTTCAAAAAGCAAGACATAGGTATGCTGTTTCTGGCGGTGGCGGCAGTGGCAGCGTCTACAATGTATTAGTTTGTGACTAGGTCTAGTCAAGGATTTGTATAGTGAGAAGGATTGGAATCTCGTGGACTATTTGCATTGCCTGTATTGAAATAAGCTGCGTATGATGAGATTTTGCGAGATTTACCGTGATGCATCTCATTAGTCGTTTTTCGTCCACCATTACAAGTTGAATTTATGTCATTTCCAGATAATATCGGCGTTTTGTAAGTATACTTTAACAAAATTACAAGATGTGATACTTTTAAGTGTAAGTTTATGACAGTTCTGATTCAAAAAACAGTTTATATCTTTACAAAACACATTGTCTGCATCTAAATATACTATGCATTTTATCTATTGCTCATCGTAATAATCCCGCCCAAATAGGCGGTCCAAACCACAACTTTAATCTCAATCTCCTCCTTCATAATACGGAATTGTGTTCAGAAACTTGAATTATATGAAATAAATGTGTGTGGTGCGTGCATATTATAAACTATATAGTGTAAGGAGCTTTTAATGGTTATTTCAGACCAACCGTCAAAAATCGTCCCGCGTCAGTGCAAAAAAGGGTGGACTGATAAAATATCAATAAAGTGCCACAAGCGGTCGATTTCAACACTAAAACGTAATTATATCAATTTATCATAGTTTATTTGTTGTACTTTCTAAAACATTTGGCTTGCAAAATGATAACGTGTGATATAATCATATTTTCAAAATACCGCTACGGTTACTAGATGCATCCAAAAGTCGTTATAATGGGCGGGACCAAATTAACATAAATAAACTTCCTGTAGTCCCTCGAACCGTCAACGTGATGAAAAATGTTTACAGTAGAATACATAGTTTGTATCTGTCATTTCATGGAAATTTACACCAAAAGGTATTGCTTTTTCCTTTAGAATTGATATGAAAATGTACTGGGAAATTCCTTTATGCCTTCAAGGGTTTACAGAACCCTGCTTACGTTCACCACATCAACTGAGTATATCATACAGTCATACTGCACATAGGCTACTGTCATAGGTGATAGCATATTTTGGCAGTAGTATAAAGTGAAAATATAGGGACACTATTAATTTACAAGTTAAAGGCGTGTTCTTACTATCATATATTAAGACTGTCTATCTCTCCAATTTTTTGGTATACCTCAGGCCTGCACCAAAGATAACAGGAGATAGTTACATTTGTATATGTGCTTAAAAGTGTGGGGGATAAGGGTACGATTTCAGTGCGACTAATTCAGTTAATGAAATAAAAAATATAAGTTGCCGTCTTCAGGATAAATCACAAGCGCTCGTCCCAGACCAGTATAATTTTCTATGCCCAAATGAATAAAAAGAAATTTTATGAAAGACTATTTTTCAGGCTTTGTTGTCAAAAAGTGTTCCACAATACACAACATTTCTTAACACTCATAAACAAAAACCAAAAAGAAAAGAACGGTCCATTCACATGTACATGTATGGAGAATTCTAAAGTAAAATTAGGCACTTCATCAAGGAGCAGTTATAAACTCTCAGCTCACTACTAAAAACTCTTCATACATGTATTGTCGGGACTCTTGGGCGTCTGGGTTCATCATTTGAAATATAAAGAAATACCAAAATAGTCAAAATTTTTATATTGTCATGGTCAAACATTTGATATTCTTGGGATGGCTACATGTCTACTAAAGTACATAATTAATCCTTGTTACCCCAATACAATCAACCAGTTATGTACTTGTATAGGATGCATAATGTGCCAATACGGACTTTAAAATTCTGAACTTTTTCTGACCAGACTCCATATTCTACATAAATTCATGTCTTGTATTTTATTATTTTTGTGATGTATTATGAACTGTGTTACTTTGTTAATGTTCATATATATATATATATGTATACCATAAAACCCACGATAACTGGATTAATTTCAATAAAATACATATCCCAGCATTATTATAGTGAACATGTAAATTACATCTGTTTACATGGTTTAAACAGTAACAGATTATACATAACCCAGCAGTGACGAGTGCCCAATTATTCGTTTTTAAATTACTGCAAAATTTTCTAAATGTTATTTGATAAAAAATAATTATTTAGCTTTTATATATGGACAGCTAGGAGAGTAGCTTACTCTTGATACATAAGTGATAAAATTTCAGATACTGTGTATAATTGTTTAACATCATATTTGCATTAAGTTTTTGACTTTCAGATGAAAAAGATATTTTGTGTTCTAATAGTACTTCTCTCTGAAGACAATAGTTGGTTATGGCTGTGGATAATAATCAGGTAACTACATTATTAAATATATAAAATAATACTGATACCAGAATTACTTTAAAATCATTATATTCAGAATTTGTGCAAGAATCATACCAGTGTGCCACATCTCTTAATATTTTTTACAGAAATTCTTAGTTGAATTCTAGCCAGCTCTGACAGCTTTCAGCACTACATGTAGTACTAGTACTGCCACAAAATGTAATTTTTAGATTCTTATTCGTTTTTAATTTGTAGTCATGGTAGTAGGCAGGTGTATTTTGTTTTACATGAAATGTTTTTTTTTTTTTGCTTTGAAATTAAATGGATTAATATTATAATTTTACAATATGGAAAATGTCAGGGAAACCCTAATTATATTTTATTTATTTTAGTCTTACAAAAAAAAATGTTTGTTATTTTCAGGATACCAAAGTTAAAGAAAGGAGATATGTTTCTTTGTGGTGAAAGTGCAAGAAATAACACCATATTCTGACTTACAAAATGATCACTCATACTGCATGCAATACAGGGAAAGGCATCAAACCAAGCCTCTAGAAGACATACATTTGTAGAATGTATTTTCTATGATGTACACGTCGCAGAGGATACTTTATGTTCCAAAAATTCAAATACAAATTGTGTCAGCTCCTGTGACAAACTTAAGACGGAAGTTAACCAGAGTATGAAATCACTATTATCAATATGTAAAATCCAACCAGTGACTATATATTTATTCAAATAGTGTCATGAATGGAATTAAAAAAGGACTTGGAAAATTAACATGTTTTAATATTGCTTTGTGTGTTAATAAAATTTGTCAGCAAGAACAAACTTCTTTTAATACAAGACATCCAGAATACATGTCTTCATACATGTCATAGCAGATACCAGCATTTCTGTGGTTGGGTGTTCCCAGATAGTTAAGTTTGTAACAATGTTCCATTTTTTGGTCTTTCATGCTTGGTTCATAAGGAATGTAAAAAAATATTTCATGTGGGTATAAAAATAAGGAGATGTGGTACGATTGCTATTAAGACAACTATCAGGAGATCAAAGGACAAGGATGTAAACGAAGACAGGTCAGTGTTCACTAAGATAGGTTTTCTAGGTACAATGTACAGTCTGTAGGTACTTTTTGAAAGAGGATAACCAATGGATTTATTGGGTCAATGGGATGAAGGTGGGGTGATGTGGGAATGAATATTTTAGCTTGGTGAGAATTAGTAGAAGAAATAATGTTGCCCGTTCAAGATGAAAATGAATAAGCTGCTGCATTTCTGCCTCACATTAAGCATGAAAAATTATGTAAAAAAGTGAAAATGAAGCTATGTGACATAAACAATCTGAGCAACAGATTATAGGCAACTGTACAGCCTTCAACAATGAGAAAACCCATATTGTATAGTTGTCTCTAAAAGGCCACAATGTGAAAAATGTGAAACAAATTATGAGTAGGGTGTATGACACAATAAGCAGATAACCCATCAAAGTTATTCGTAAAATGCTATTACATGTAGTTGCTTGTGTTACTAATGTTTTTCACAAGGGAAATTTACTTGTACTTGCCATGGGTACAACCATTGATTTTTGGATATGAATGATACATTCATTGTTGAAGACCCTACATCAACTGTCAAGATGAAGAACAGGAATAAAAGCCATGTTCATTGATAATTTTCTATGTTTTCTATGTATTGGGTGCGATTTAGTCCCATGTACATTTACTCCATATCATTTCAGTTTCTATTTTACTGTTGTTTATAATCATGAACTTATTTTTAACTTCCTGCCAGTCCTTCAATGAACTCAAACCTCTATAGTTCCAGTTACAACTCATGTATTTGCAGTTTGAACAGACGAGAATTCTTGAAAATCAATGAATTCATTTAATTTCTCATTTGTTGCGGACCTTACATTTGTACATGTATATTGATTCTGTTAAATTTATTCATAACTTAACTATGATAAAAAATCAACATACAGATATTGTATGGAGACTGACTATTCTTGAAGACTGTATGATTTCCTCTAACTGTCAACGTGGTCAATGCTCTTGTGGTAGTTGGGTCAGTTTCATATACTAGAAGAAAGGACAAAGACAAGCTGCGAAAATAAATAATTGTTTTGACCTTCTCTTTGGGGTTATCTTAAACAGCTATTACAAGTATCATAAAGATGTGTTGGGCTACTCAAATTACGATCACAAGAAAAACAACAACATAATTACGATAATTTTCGGCAACTGCCAAATGTAAACGACTATCAAAGTTTATTTTCCAGCTTGAGAGAGGTCTTCAATATGACATACTCAGAAGGAATCGTGATATCTTTGTGAATTAAAAAAAAATATTGATCAAAGATGCTAAAACAAACTAAACCTAACAACAAACAAGTCAGAAATGATTATCTTGCAATACACGCTGTTCGACCGGATATTTACTTACAGGTGCGTTTAAATTTATAGTGGCGAGTACGCAACATCTCACGATAAGTGTCGATATACCGCGAGATTCCAATCCTTCTCACTATACAAATCCTTGGTCTAGTTCATGGTGAACCACTAGTGGTAGGTCAATGATATTTGGTATGCAGTTGTATTAACATTGGCACATCTCATTACCATGGAGATTATTTAGCGTTGCCCCCTCAGTCAAGGTCAATTGACTTTGAAACTTTGCTTAATTTACATGTATTAGTTTGTGATTAGGTCAGTTTATGGGGAACCACTATTGATAGGTCAATGATATTTGGTATGCAGTTGTATAAGCATTGGCATATCTCATTTCCATGGAGATTATTTGGCCCCGCCCCTCATTCATGGTCTATTGCCTTTGCTTAGTTTTCATGTATTAGTTTGTGATTAGGTCAGTTTAAGGGTAACTGTTAGTGGTAGGTCAATGATGATTGGTATGCAGTTGTATAATCATTAGCATTAGCACATCTCATTTCCATGGATATTTGGTCCTTACCCCTCAGTCATGGTCTATTGACTTTGAAACTTTTGCTTAGTTTACATGTATTGGTTTGTGATTAGGTCAGTTTAAGATGAACCACTAATGTTAAGTCAATGATATTCTTGCAAGTTTCATTTCCATGGAGATTACATAACCCCACCCCCTTATTATGGTTCATTGACTTAGAAACTTTTACATAGTTTACAAGTTAATGTTTGTGTTTAGGTTTGTTTAAAGGGAACGACTTATGAAAAGTCAATGGTATTTGGTTTGCAGTTGTATTAGCATTGGCACATCTCATTTCCATGGAGATTGTTTAGCCCTGTACCTTTAGTCATGGTTCATTGACTTTGAATTTTTGCATAACTTACATGTTAAAATTTTGCTATTTTAATTTCAACATTTGCATTATCAAAATAACAAATAGGCGAGACATATCTCTGTGTTAACAGTTTATTTAAAATTTTTGCAGGCTATTGGACGTCTCGGGGGTAATAACCTGCTGATGGAATCCCAGTCTACAAAACATATTGTTCTAGACAAGTCCCTAACAGACATTATAACCAAAATAAGAATTAATGAACATAATATTGAAGAGCACAGAGAAATGTTAGACAATCTCCAGGTTGCAGTTGACAAACAAAAGACCATCAAAGATCAACATGAACACAGAATTCAGCAGCTCACTGATTCTCTTCAGAAAGGAGTAGATGAGGCTCAGAAACATGCTGCAGAACTTTCTGACCACAACGAATCAATAGACAAATATACAGAGGAGATTGTAGAATGTAAGAAAGAAATAGGGAAAATATATACTACAATTAAACTTATACAAGATGAGGTAATGGACAAACAGAACCAGGTTGATACTTTAACATGTCTGTTAGAAAGGCTAGAATGCAAATATAACAAAAAGTTCAAAGAAATTGATGGACAGCTTATCAAACATGATGAACAAATTGCAACATCTGCAAAAGACATTGAAGATTTGAAGAAGAAACAACATAATACTGGTGACATACCAGGTAAGTTTGGTTCATTTTCAATTTGTTTCATGATCTGTTACAATACATGTTTGAGGAAAAAAGGAATCATCCAAAATCTTAAGTGGGGAATGAGGAGATACACTATGGTTGAATGTATTTATAGCCTTTACAAAGGTAGCAAATTGAGAATATTGTGACTTTTTTTATGATCGCCAATTTTTTTTTACATACATATAATGGTATGATGTTGTTGGCGCAGCAGCAGCCAAAGATACATTTGGTTTCCGTAAAATAAATTTAGCTTAGGTGAATGGATCTCCAATAAATTTTATCAGAAGGTTCAATACCACAAAAGGAAGGGTGGGATTGATTTTGGGGGTTATGGTACCAACAGTTTAGGAATCAGGGGCCAAAAAGGGGCAAAAACAAGCATTTTTATAGTTTCCAGATATTTGCTTATGTGCTAGTGCATGAATCTCTCTGAAATTGTACCACAAGGTTCGATATTTCAAAGAGAAGACTGTGATTGCGTTTGGGGGCAATAGCCCTAAATGTTCAGGTCTGAACTTCAGGAATTAGGGGTAAAAAAGGGGCCAAAAACAAGCATTTTTCTAGTTTCCAGAAAATAACTTTAAGTTAAGTGTATGGATCTTTCTGAAATTTTACTACAAAGTATATTACCACAAAGGAAAGGCTGATATTGAGTTTGGGGGCAATTACTCAAAGGGGGATTCAAAACAAATTGTGGGGGGGATTTTTTTCCTAAACATTTTCCATTTTTCATTTTTCAGATTTACTAAGTATTGTGCAACAGCACATTATTGCACAATAGCAATATATCTTCAATTGCTCTGTATTGCCCAATAGCACAGTATTGCCCAATAGCAAGAAATCTTCAATTGCACAGTATTGCACAATAGCAAGAAATCCTTAATTGTCCACTATTATGCAATACCAATAAATTTCAATCGCACAGAATATCACACTAGCAAGAAATCTTCAAATGCACAGTATTGCTCAATAGCACAGTATTATATATGCAATAGCAAGAAATCTTCAATTGCACAGTATTGCACAATAGCAAGAAATCCTCATTTGCACAATATTGTGCAATAGCGCAGTATTGTGCAACAGCAAAAAATCTTCAATTACACAGTATTGCACAATAGCACAGTATTGTGCAAAAGCAAAAACTTCTAACCAATTTCAATGGGATTAACTTAAAGTCTTTAATTTATCGGGGTTCTAACCTTGTATTACTATTTTGGATAATGGGACCGATTTTTTATAATTGGTCTACATTAAGGTCCAAAGGGTCCAAAATTAAAATTCATATGATTTTATCAAAAACTGAATTATTGTGGCTCTATGATATGCTGAATCATATTGTGCATTCAGATTTTTTATTTTATGCTTTGTTTTCAAATAAGTCCATATTAAAGTTTGTAAAGTCCAAAAGTAAACTTTGTTTGATTTCATCTAAAAAAAAAAAAAAATTTGTGTTTTTTTTATATGCTGAATCTAACCATGTTGTTAGATTTTGGATATCAGGCCATACTTGGTAAATTAAATGTCCCATTTCAAATTCTTAAGATCTTTTATTACATATTTTTGTGACAGAAATTTTATCACGATCCAAATTCAGACAGTATCAAGCTTGAATATTGTGTCCAAACTCGCCCCAACTGTTCAGAGTTCCACCTGTGCAGTCGTATCAGGCTGTGCTCAGCGAAGCATTTTATTTTCTCCTCAAGTATCATTAATAAAACTTCATATTAGATACCCAAAGTATGCAATGTATTTGACCAGGGGGAACAGGTACCCAGTGGTCATTCAAGAAGTGGTTAGGTTTCAACTTTCCTCTTAGTGAAAATCTTAGAATACGTTTTTCAAAAATAAAACTTTCATCTTAAATTTTGGCAGAGTTATACATATGCAGCATTTCCTGAAATTACAGTTATTGACCTCACAGTTTTGTCCATTGTTCAAAAGTCACAATCAATAATGCACAAAACATAACAATTTCGAAACATGCTAAATTTACACTAAACATCCAGGTGATAAATATTGAACATCAAATGTAACGCTTTTCAATCAATTTCTGGATGAGATCATTTTCTATTACAGTACCTACCTATTAATATTTCATTTACTGTTAATTTGTTCTTGTCTTGAAAATGCATGAAATATTTGCCTCTGGACACTTGCACTAAGGAAATCTTACCAAGTACAGTAATCCTGATCTATCAAGGTCAGTATATTCTACTCCATAAACTACTCTTCATCTTACTGAGTACTGCAACACTGTGTAATCATGCTCAAGCAAGGTAGCGTTTCTTGATCCATAAACTACTCTTCGTCTTACTGAGTACTGTAATCATGCTCTACCAAGGTAGGTTTTCTTCATCCATAAACTACTCTTCGTACTACTGAGTACTGTAATCATGCTCTACCAAGGTAGCTTTTCTAGATCCATAAACTACTCTTCGTCTTACTGAGTACTGTAATCATGCTCTACCAAGGTAGCTTTTCTTGATCCATAAACTACTCTTCGTCTTACTGAGTACTGTAATCATGCTCTAGGAAAGGAACTTTTCTTGATCCATAAACTACTCTTCTTCTTACTGAGTACTGTAATCATGCTCTACCAAGGTAGCTTTTCTTGATCCATAAACTACTCTTTGTCTTAATTAGCACTGTAACTATGCTCTACCAAATGCAATGAAGCATATCATGATCCATAAACTACTCTTCGTCTTACTGATTACTGTAATCATGCTCTTCGAATGTAGCATTTCTTGATCCATAAATACTTTTCGTCTTACTGATTACTGTTATCATGCTCTACCAAGGTAGCGTTTCTTGATCCATAAACTACTCTTCTTCTTACTGAGTACTGTAATCATGCTCTACCAAGGTAGCTTTTCTTGATCCATAAACTACCTTTCGTCTTATTGAGTACTGTAATCATGCTCTACCAAGGTAGCTTTTCTTGATCCTTGAACTACTCTTCGTCTCACTGAGTACTTTAATCATGCTCTACCAAGGTAGCTTTTTTTGATCCATAAACTACTCTTCCTCTTACTGAGTACTGTAATCATGCTCTACCAAGGTAGCGTTTCTTGATCCATTAACTAGTCTTGGTCTTACTGAGTACTGTAATCCTGCTCTACCAAGGTACCTTTTCTTGATCCATAAACTACTCCTCCTCTTACTGAGTACTGTAATCATGTTCTACTAAGGTAGCTTTTCTTGATCCATAAACTACTCTTTGTCTTACTGAGCACTGTAACTATGCTCTACCAAATGCAATGAAGCATTTCATGATCCATAAACTACTCTTCGTCTTACTGATTACTGTAATCATGCTCTTCTAATGTAGCATTTCTTGATCCATAAACTACTTTTCGTCTTACTGATTAATGTTATCATGCTCTACTAATGCAGCGTATTGTGATCCACAAACTGCTTTACGTCTTACTGAGTACTGTAATCATGTTCTACCAAGGTAGCTTTTCTTGATCCATCAACTACTCTTCCACTAACTGAGTACAGTAATCATGCTCTACCAAGGTAGCTTTTCTTGATCCGTAAACTACTCTTCCACTAACTGAGTACAGTAATCATGCTCTACCAAGGTAGCTTTTCTTGATCCGTAAACTACTCTTTGTCTTACTGAGTACAGAAATTATGCTCTACAAAGGTAGGTTTTCTTGATCCATAAACTACTCTTTGTCTCGCTGAATACTGTAATCATGCTCTACCAAGGTAGCTTTTTTTGATCCATAAACTAGTCTTCCTCTTACTGAGTACTGTAATCATGCTCTACCAAGGTAGCTTTTCTTGATCCGTAAACTACTCTTTGTCTTACTGAGTACAGAAATTATGCTCTACCAAGGTAGCGTTTCCTGATCCATAAACTACTCTTCTTCTTACTGAGTACTGTAATCATGCTCTACCAAGGTAGCTTTTTTTTATCCATAAACTTCTCTTCCTCTTCCTGAGTACTGTAATCATGCTCTACCAAGGTAGGGTTTCTTGATCCATAAACTACTCTTTATCTTACTGAGTACTGTAATCATGCTCTACCAAGGTAGCTTTTCTTGATCCATAAACTACGCTTGGTCTTACTGAGTACTGTAATCCTGCTCTACCAATGTAGCGTTTCTTGATCCAGAAACTACTCTTCATCTTACTGAGTACTGTAATCATGCTTTACCAATGTAGCTTTTCTTGATCCATAAACTACTCTTTGTCTTACTGAGTACTGTAATCATGCTCTATTAATGTAGCATTTCTTGATCCATAAACTCTGTTTCTTCTTACTGAGTACTGTAATCATGCTCTACCAAGTAACCTTTTCTGGATCAATAAACTACTCTTTGTCTTACTGAGTACTGTAATCATGCTCTACCAAGGTAGCTTTTCTTGATCCAAAAACTACTCTTCGTCTCACTGAGTACTGTAATCATGCTCTACCAAGGTAGCTTTTCTTGATCCATAAACTACTCTTCCACTTACTGAGTACAGGGGCGTGTTTTTTTGTTCTTCGGTAGTGAGCCAGAAGAGGTCCATTTCTGTTTTTTTTGCATAGGGAAGATCTACTGGCTCTCTTCCACCGTTTCTTTTTTGATAGGTAGTTTAGACGGCAGAGGCACATAACAAACATGGCGTCGTTTAGTCTAAATGACATTAATAAATTTATGAATGCAGATATATTAGAATGTGAGCTGTGTTATAAACGTTTTTATGGTATGACAGTCTTAGTAGGACATCCCTGTAGGACGATAAGCTGGATAAATATAAGAACTACACGGACCATTACAGTTAAGGGACGACTATTTGATATTCTAGGGAAGGGATTTGATTGATTGGTGTTTTTCGCTACTTTCAACACTAAGTTGGACTATTCCGTGGTGGTCAGTTTAAATGTATAGATGAAGAATGGGGAAGGGAAGAGGGCATTATTAACTTTTTTTAATCTGTCCCTTATTATGCCTATTTTTCAGCTCTTACCAGGCAACCATATCCATATATGA